TAGCTTGGAACAACAGTCATGTGCAAGATATGTGAAAAAGTCAGTAGAAACTCTTCCCTATAGTTAAGAGAATCAAGTTCAAAAGGCACTCCAATAACTAATTTCTAACCTAGTTATTGCCAAAGCATAACTACAAGCCCCTAAATTCCAAAATTCTGTACAGCTATTATAATTAAGAAACCCTCATCCTCTGATCCCCTGTTCAATCTTCCATTTGAAAGAGGGATATCAGAAATTTACCTGTACTGCACGCCCAACTTGATCCCGAGAGAGATGTCTATGCCCCCGACGGCTTCAACGATGGCAAAATAAACAGAAGGATCCTCAATCGCATACCGGAACGGCCGGATTCCGGCCTCGCGGACCAGGGCTGTGAGCTGCCGCATGCAGAGCACACGATGGTCTGCTGTGGAGATCTCCACTGGCGTCTGCAACTCCGGCCGCGAGACGAAAAAGTTGAAGATCCGTTCCTGGATCTCTCGATGCCTCCCCTTCATGTATTCCACCAACTCTGCCCGGCTGACAGATAGAAGCGGTCTCCCGCGGCCACCGGTACAAGGCGACGGGACTATCCAGTTCTTGTCGCCGGAACTTTCAGGATCAAGAAATGGCGAAGGTTGAAGGAGATGGAGGGAGAGCTTCTGGATTCGCCGGAGAGCGCGTTGGGTGTCGTGCTCAGAGGCGAGGGACGTCATCTGGGCTTCCTTCGTCATCCCACCACCCTCCATTCGGGCGGGTAAACATGGGGATTTATTGGCTAGGCGGTGTTGAATCGATGACTGGCGCGTGGTGTTACGAGATTGGACACAAGCGTGGTGTTCATGAGAAGATTTGGACGGCATTACCGCTTAGATTCAAGTTCTTCTCTTTGGCACGTCTTTCCCATTTTAATATTTCATAACAATAATCTTTAAAAATGCAAGCATCTAATTGTTATAAGGTGTGTTCCATGATCTACACTATCATATAACAATTATTATTTTTAATTAAATATAATTAAGTTATAAAATTTTAAGGGGCTTCTTTTTGGATTTTTAATTTTATTTTATTTTATTTCTGTTCTTATTTAAAATAAAATATAATTGATATGTTATAATATGTTTAATTATTTTTAAAAATAATCCAAATAATTTTCTTAATGTTTTGAATGTTTTTAAATACAAGTTAATTTTTTTAAGAAAATAAAAAATAAAAACATACAAATAAATATTTTTGTTAAATAAATGAAAATAAAAAAATAAAAATAAATAAATATGATCTAACAAACCTTCACATAACAAACCGTCAAATATTAAATCACATAAATAATATCAGGGGGGTATTAACTTTTCTAGTAAAAATAGATTGTGTAAATAATCAATGAAGGTCGTATAATCGTTTATTATTGGATGGCAATGAAAAAAAATTGTCAATGTACACTCAAATACGTTACCACGAATCTTGAAGTGATCGTTTGGACTTTAAAACAAGCATTATCAAAGATGGTCCACAAAAAGTCAAGTGTCACATCAACGTGAGCCCACATGATCCGATGCCTACTCACGACCCCCTAAATTTTTGTGCAAAGCCTGCCAAAAGAATGCTCTTCATGATAGATTGAGGCGTACCCAACCAAAGAAAGGGTTCAACCACTCCCAAAAAATCATACTAGAGAAAACATCAAGATTCACCGAGACTATATATGTGCTCAATGTGTAATTCACATAAAAGTAAAGTGTCACATCAAAGTGGCATTCACATAAATCCCCCGGTGCGTTTCCCGTTAAAGGGTTGGGCTATTTATCGAATTACGGTAATGTGACCACTCTCCGACGGTCTAGTCTCATCTTGGTAATAAGAATCTTACTTAAGGTGCCAATAACTAAAAATCAGACCAAAGGAGCCAGCCAAATGAAGTCAGACGACCCAGGGACCCCCTCATAAGTCAACCGATTGACCTCAACCAAGTTTACTGGCTGACCCTACCAAGCTAACCCATAGCCTTCAACCAAGTCGACCGAAGGTCTTCAATCAAGTCCACCGAAGTTCTTCAGCCAAATCGACCACCGGTCCTTAGCCAAGCAGACCAAAGGTGCTCAGCCAAGCCAATTACAGTTCTTTGCGCAGTCAACTAACTAACCAATACAAGAGAACGGACTGTTTGCTCTGACTCAGCTAAGCTGACCAGATTAACTTGGCCGACCCAATAGCCATTGATCCAATACAACTGAATGACGGGGCAGTCAAGCTAGAGACCTTTTATTTATTCATTCATTTATTTATTTATTTATTTATTTATTTATAACCAAAATATCATGTGACGTCCCCATTCAAGTAGAGGCAAGTAGGTAATTGTTCACTTTTTACCCTCTACACTTATAAATAAGGGGTCATTTATATATTTAAGGGCTTATGAATCATTAGACTAATCTAATATTACTTTCACTCAATTGTTCTCTCATCTCTCTCCATATATCTCTCTCGCTCGATTTATGTTCTATATCTTAGGTGCACTTCACAGGACAATCTCTGATTCAACATCCTAAAAGGTGTGGTGAGCATGGAGCATGTCAACAACATGATGAGGAGCACCACTAGAAGAAGAAGCTCCCTAGAGAGATGCGGGGAGCATGGAGTGAACTCAGAAGTTTGTGCAATAATAAATTTAGAAGTTAAGGGACCAAATGATGGGCCAGATAATGGAGGCCATCAGAGAAGTAGTGGCATGGGGAATGGAGTAGACCCCCCAAGAGTTGAACCAACTGGAGCATGGGCTGACACCCAATGGCTAAAGGGTAAAACATTTCCCAAAAGGACAAGAGGATTCCCACTAAGACAATGTTGGATCGACATCCACAGCAAAGACTGTGATTCAGGTGCATAGAGGACCCCACCAGCTAGAGAATGTATTATCCCAGCAAATTTCAGACGTAGAACCCCAGAAAAAGTTTAAAGTTCCATCACTCAGGTCCCATAAGGGTTAGTTGACCTGACCAATTACATCACGTCATTTGAATATTTTGTCATATTATTGAGGATTACTGACATGCTGAAGTGTCTTTTTTTCACCACAATGAGTTAATCGGCCCCTCAGGCAGTTCAATGGATTACCCGCTTCGATAATCACCTCCTTAGCTGATTTCAAAAGGCTGTTTGTGGCAAAGTTGCTAGTGCGTACAAGTTGCAAATAAGTTTGCAATATATATGGCAAGCTAAGCAATGGCAGCGGGAGGTCTACATGCATACATCACATAATTCCATCAGAAGATGTTGGAAGTACGGGACCTGGAACCCGGAGTAACGCATGCAATTTTATCTCAGGGATTGAGGAAAGGGAAATTTTGATATACTCTAGGCATGCAATTGCGAAAAGCCCTAGCAGAATTGTTGGAACAAGCTAACATCCACATTATCGCGAGAAGTACGTTGAAAACCTCACCTTTTATAAGGTAGAATTATATGACTATCGCTCGTGGAAGAGAACCCAATAGAATAGAGGATGTGCACAAAGGGATGGTAAGCATCCACCCATCCATCCCAAGTGTGAAGATAATCAGCTAACCTGGGAGAATAGGGAGACGACTAAAACCACCATCATAGTGGTCAACAGAGGTACATAGACCAGTGACCATCTCGCTATCATAAGCAGCCAGTAAACAAACATGGAGTGTCAATGACCACACTCCTGAGGGTATCAGTGGAGGAGTGTAGAAGCCATTTGCCATGGGGGTCAAAGCATTTGTCTGAGAACCTAAGAAGTATTGTGCATACCACTGTGACCACATACATGATACGGAAGACGTATCGACACCTCGGAATTCTAGTCAAAGAGTTGATAAGAACATGGAAGCTCATGGAGTTTATGTCGCCCAGAGTGGTGATACAGAGGCATGGGAAGGTTTCGATTGAACTAGTAAGGGCTAATGTCATTCATATTGTTGGATTTATTCAGCCTATTCTGGGAGGAGATAGAAAACCCTCTAAATGTGTCAACTAAAAGATGATTCAGACAAACGACTTGTGTGTTGCCTTCTTTGTTCACATGCAAGGCACCCATCCATCAGTCACCTTCACCGACGCTGATCTATCCCCAAAGGGGATCCCTACAACAACATTGTTGTCATCATAACCATGATCAACAATTATTATAGTGGTAGTAACGTAGTCAACAATGTTAGCTCAGTGAATATCCTATTCAAAATAATGTTTGACAAGATAAACTTTCTAGTCAATCAGTTGGTAGCACCAGCTGACCCACTCTTCAAACTCTCAGGTGAGGGGAAAGAAGCCCTTGGAGTGATAGTGCTACCAATCACATGGAGAGAGGGTGAAAAATAGTTCATGCACATGAAGGACTTCCTGGGGGTACTCGTCATTGACTTACAATGTGATCTTTGGCCGCCCACCCTCGAATGATTACAAGGATGTGGTCTATACGTACTACATAGCGGTGAAGTTTCTAAATGACAAAAAAATCATCATCTTGCTAAGAAACTTGGAGCAATCTCAAACATATTAACTTCAGGCAGTCAACAGCATGGATTAGAAGCTACTTGATCTCCAACACCGACGGGAAGGAAGTCTCGAGAGAAATGAAACTGTTCTGGAAGTATCAATGACAAAGGGGAATCTTGGTAGGTGTTTCCTAATTAGTAAGGATTTTCATGCAAGACATAAAGACTTGCAGATTAGAACTCTCTGGGAACATCAAGATATCTTTGTTTGCTCAGCTGCAGAGATGTCAAGCATACCACTCAATGTCGCCTGTCACTGACTGAATGTCAATTTAACAATCTAACTGATGAAGCAAAAGATTAGGTCCTTAGATGTAATGATGACAGGTTGATCTGAGAAGAGGTGTTTAACCTCAAGAAAGTTAGTTACATCCATGACGTGTGATACCCATCTTGACTCTCCAATGTATTCATGGTACATAATGCAAACAACAAGTGGATGATGTGTACCGAATTCACCAATATGAACTTTGCTTAGTCGAAGGATAGCTACCTCTACCAAGGATCAATACACTGGTAGATTCAGCAGTTGGATATATGGTGATGGCTTTTTAGACACTTTTTTTAACTACCATCAGATCAATATGCCCAAAATTATGTAGAGAAGATAGCTTTTTTATTACCAGTAAAGGTGTATTATGTTATAAAGTAATGTCTTTTGGGCTTAAGAATACTGAGGCTATCTACTAATATTTAATGGATGTAATCTTTTCAAATTAAAAAGGAAAAATATTGAAGTTTATATGGACAATGTTTTAATTAAAATTTGTTCATCCAAACATCATTTAATTTACTTAAGAAGAAACATTTCAAACACTAAAAAATAAAATAAAATGAAACCTAATCCACTGAAATACACATTCTAAGCCTCTAATAACAAATTTTATGGCTACCTCTTAACTCTAGAGGGAATCTAAGCCAACCACAAGAAATTGCAGGCATTACTAAACATGCCTTCTCTCCAAAACACCAAAGAAGTCCAAATGTTGATAGGCCTAATAGCAGGCCTCAGCCATTTCATCTCAAAGGTAGGTGATAAATGCACTGCATTCTTCAAAACTCTTGTAAAAGCAAATAACTTCAAATGGTCAGTCGATTGTAAGAAGGAATTTACAAAGTTAAGAGATTCCTTGGCGTCGTCGCTACTACTACAAAGTTTAAAACCAAATGAAGAGCTCTCTCTATACTTGGGAGTTGGACTTATGCCCATTAGTTATGTGTTAGTTCATAAGAAATTAGGAAAAAAGTTCCTAGTTTACCACACCAATATGGTCCTTTGAGATGCTGATGTGGGCTTTTTATGCATTATAAATGTTTTTCAACACCACAACTCTCAAGGCAGCTATACTAAAAATAATGTTGATTAATCACAATAAAATTTTCTTTAGTATAATA